CAGTCTCCACACTTGCCACCTCCTCCATCGGGCCTCAGCGTCTCCACAGCAGCCACCTCTTTCATGGGGCCTCAGTCTCCAATCCTTAACTCCTCCTCCTCCCAGACCAGGAACAAGCCCTTGGCATTACTGGCTCTCTCCTGTAGAGCTCGCAGAGAACACTGTCACACACATGCTGTCCTTCTGACTTTCCCCCACATACACCTTGGTCACCTCCACCTCTGGGGTCCCTCCGCTCACTCATGGATGGACAGCCCCAGCAACGTGCCATCTGGGCCCACCCCCGTCAGCGCGATCTAAGGGTAAGTAGCCTCTCCCTCCTCTTACAGGATTCTTCTTTCTCCTACCGAATTTTCCAAAGCAGTCATTTTAAACCTTTCCCATCCTTAAGTCTTCAGTTCCACCAGATTTCTCAGAAACTGACCATTGCCCTGGAAGACAGGGGGCATCTACGCAGAAAGTCGACTTCCCTCCGTCACAATGGAGTCTTCTGTGCTGTCACTTCCTCCTCACGGGCCTCCCATCTTAAATGAAGTCTCTTCCCACCTTCCCTATGTGCTGTGCGGCTTTCTCCCTGTCTCTACAAGGCCCCTGATTCATATTTACCTTCCAGGCTCCCCAAGTTGTTTCCTTTTACCAAACAACTTAAACCATTTGCTAAAACGACGATGATAAACAAACTACACGTCTGCCCAGCCCCCACAGGCAACTGCTCTCCCCAGCCCGACCTCCACCTTCTTCCCTTCTGAAATGCTCTCCAGTCCTCCAACCACCAAACCTAATGGTTTTTCTTCCTGACTCCTGTGGCATCTCAGACTCGACTCCATCAACACTGAGCGGCGTCCTCCTCCTCCTCGGTTCCCAGGCTGCTGACTGCTCTCCCATTTCCCCCAGTTAAGCTCAGACCTCCTGTCACCTCTGCCTCAGTTTAGGAATTGTCCCCTTCCTCCCACCATGGTCATGTCTGTGTCCCTCAGTTCCTCCTTCACCATTGCCACGACAGTGTCCTGACCTCGACACTGCACCAGCCTCCTGGCCTCTTCTGCTAATGCCCTTCCTCCAGTCCCGACTGCCTGACACAGGAATTTCAAATCCCTTAGCCAGAGAGTGAAGGCCTCTCAGAACCGGCTCTAGCCTCAGAGTCAGGTGTCACATATTTCACCTGTCCTCCCAACTCTGGGAAAAGGCAGTTTCCAGAACATATCTTATATTTTCTTACCCAAATGCCTATGTCAAGCCAGCCCATCCAGCTGTAATCTTCAACATCATCTTTACTTATTAAAACCCTATTGTTTACAAGAATTGATAAAGATGCCACCTTTTGCCTACCTCCTGTAGCTGCAAGTTATTTGTTCCTTTTCTGAATCTCCATAATTCCAAGTGCCCAGCTCTTTTTTTTTTTTTTCACTCTTATCTCACGTTCCTTTGGAATTACTGATGAGCTTGTCTCATCATCCCTATGAGATTTTAGGCTCTTGGAGACAGTGATGATGATGGTGGGAATGATCATGACCATCACCACAAGTCCCCCCCCACTGCAGCTCTCTGAGAAGCACGGAACTTCATCACCCGAGCAACACCAGGAAGACTGTCTCCACTTTCAGGTGTGATTAAGTAACATGCCGAGGCCAATATGTAGGAAGTGGTAGAGCCAGAAACGGGATTTATCCTTGTCTGACTTTAACAGCAATGTTCTTAACTACTCTGTGGCATTTCTCACCATTGCAGACTCAAGAAATGGCCTGACACAACATCCTTCTCCCTGAGTCTAGTAGGTGAGAGAGTTTACTGAGCCAGATCCCCCAGGGTGCTGAGCCTGCCTGGTCAGTGCATGTATCTACACGGAGAAGAAACAGAGAGCTCAGACTCTAATTCTGAAAGGATGATCTCAAAAATGGAACACAGTTTACCTCCCTCAAGACTAAACAGCACATAAAATGCAAAATGAAAGAACAATCTAATTCTCTTGGATTAGGTAATAGCTTGACTTTGCCTCTTTCCTCGGAACCATCAATTTTGAGAAGGCAGTGAATCAAGGCCAGTCCGAAAGCCTTACTGAGATAATTTAAACCACATTTAGACAGAGCCTCCAATAATTCTTGTTTCTGAGGCTCTGACATCAGCCCTGTGAAAACATGATAATTGTACTCTGCTGACACAGCCCGAATTGATGTAAATTTGGGTTCCTACTTTACATATGAACAGGCAGATAATAGATGGTGCACACAGGTATCAACGTCAAGAAACTGGGGGCTGTTGTCTCTCTAGGTGAGCGGCTGAGGGCCGTAATCCTCAGAGATAAATGTCATTATACAGCTCAAATCCCATCACAACAAATACCTTTACAACAGAGATGTCTGTATAACAAAACCCTTTCAAGCTTTGGCTGACAGCCCATGTACTTCAAGCAGTATTTGATGTGAGACTTGGAGTTCACAGTAATGGGAATTGACCTGTATTTCCAAAGGTAAGATTTGAATGATTTCATCTGCAACTCTGATCCCATGACACCATGTGTCGGAGTGATGTATAATCTAAACCCATTGAGTATAAAAACTAAACACAAAGAAATTGAATCGACCCACTCTGAAAAGAGAAAATTCCTTCTTTTCACTTGGGGAACATTTAGGCAAAGCAGATGACCTCTGACCCGAGCCCTGAAATACAGGTGTCCAGGGAAGGTCTGGGGTCTCGTCTCATGGAGAGACAAAACGTTCCCCCCTCCAGGAAAGGAGATGGGTTGTGTGCAGAGCACTGCTCTGTCACTTACTGGCTGGGTCAATCAGACCACATTTCTTTACTTTCTCAGATCCTCAGTTTCCACATCTGTACAATGGGACTCACAGCACCTACCTTCTAGATTTTGGTAAGGAGTAAATGAGAACTGCCATAAAGCTTCTAACATACAGCCTGATACACAACATGTGCTCAAGAGAAATCAGTTCCCTCATCAGGCCTCCCTTCTCCATCAAGACCCCAGGCTTCTGCAAACTATTTCCATCAAATTAGTTAATAAGACCTAGTCAATGGAAGTTGAAATGTATAGTCTTATATAGGGGGTCAAGATGTTGCTCAGAGAAATATCTGAGCAAGAAAGAAGATGGCAGAAAAAGTAGGCCATGTGCAAATACTTTTTTGACCAGGAGAAGGTCTTTCTGGCTAAGGTAAGGCGTGTATTCCTAAGCTAAAATGCACGTAACCAGACATTATGACAATGAATGAGAACTGACCGTTCTGTCAGAGGTCATTTTGAGAAATGCTGATAGACAAAAACTCAGTCTCATTTTGCTACACAAGGATGAAGTGTGGCTATTGCTGTATGTGACTTACTTGCTCTGGCCTGGTTTTTGTCCATGCTGTTTGGAGGTGGCGGGAAAGACTGATTTGGTGATTTCTCAGCTCTCGTCCCAGACGTTATACTACCTTTCCTCAATAGGGCACTGTGAAAGTTATGTATTCCAACAAACTCTGGTCTTCTTCACTGACATGTAAACAGCGGCATAACATGTACAATGAAGGCTCCTCTCAACAGTGTTTTAACTTGTCAAGTTTTCAATTCCATTAACTTCTAGATATCAGATTTTCTACTTCTCAAATTACAATCAAGACAATCAAGTTTGTGGTGACAAAATGTTATGTTCTTTTATTAAATATCCCTGGTCATGAACATTACCTAAAGGTACCTTTATACGAGGGCTATTGGCTGGGGGCTTTTAAACTCCTTAAAAGGCTCCCAAAAGAACTAGGAGACCTCAGCAACTACAGGGAACAAGAGATGGCCCAACACTTCTCAAGAGTTACGGAACATCAGAGCCTTAAAGATGCCTCTTAGTCCTTTATTTTCACATTGCCAGTAAGAAAAAGGCTCAGAGAAAAGTCAGCGTGCCCAACTGAAGTGTATAAATAAGCCAGACAATGCATTCAGGCTCTCTTTTGAGAAGCCTCACAGAAATAAAATATGCCAGACAGAAACACCAGAGCACAGAGAAAACGAGACCATGAGACTCACAGAGGGGCAGAGGAGCCCTGAGCAGAGACAGAGATCAAGAACAGACAAGGGCTAAAATCACTAAGAAGAGAAGATCAGAACAGGGACAGTGACCAAGTGGCAGCAGGAGAGGGGAAATTTTAAACTCAGTCTGCACAGCTTACAGAGCAGGACTCCAAGACAGAAGCATCCATGGTGCAAAGGTTTCCGGTCTCTGTTTCAATAACTTGCACCTCACCCTCCCTGCCCCCATCACCCTAAAATGGAGGCAGTAACCACCCCTGAGCCACTCTCAGGTCCGGCTCCGGGTAAGGGCGGGGACCTCCGGCGTTCGTGAAGGTGTGCTAACTGTCTCAGGCCGCTAGGGTGCTGCTCCGGGCTCCAAAGGCACGTGTCCCTTCACGGACCCCACCTAGCTCCCGAGAAGGGGCGTCCCTCCATCCGCACAGCCCTTCCTTCCTGCCTCGCCCACAGCACCACACCGGCTGGCTGAGGAACTGTCAGGCGTTTCAAGGTCTGCACAGGTTACGGAAAAGTGAAACGCAATTGCAATTACTTGGGCGATGCTGGGCAGCCAGGGGTAGATGCCAGAAGGCAGGGCTGAGAAACAGCCTTCCTCGAAGCAGCCGCCCGCCCGCCCGGAGCCTGCGCTGCCTAGAAAGTGACCTCGCGGGAGCGATCACGCGCCAGGCCCGCGGCTCGGCCGCGCCCGCCCGGTCCCTCCTCCTCCCGCGTCCAACCTGTCCAGCAGGCGGGCGGGCGGGCGGGGGCGCGGGGAGGAGCCGGGAGCCGAGGAGCCCCCACCCGCGGCCCGCGCCCGCCCGGCCGGCCGGCCCAGCGCCGCCCACCCGGCCCAGCGCCCCGCGCGCCCCGTACCTTTACTCTGGGGAGGGTTCTGACTCCGGTCCCGGAGGACGTTGATCTGGTAGACGGCTCCGTAAGGCTCAAAAAGTTCTTTCAGCTCCTTTTCCGACCAGGACCGGGGGATCTGCCCGACGAACATCTTAATGGCATCTGGGTCTGGTTGGTCCGAGTGATCCAAAGCCCCGTTCATCTTGCTGGCTGTGCCGTTACTGTCAAAAACGGAACCGGGAGCCAGAGTTAGGCGCAGCGAGGCAGGG